CGAGTAGCTTAGAAATGATAGCAATCTGAACTTTGTTGCAGTTTTTTCATCTCACCCTGTAGTTCCCGAATTGTGACTACTCTAAAGCTATGATACGCATTCAAATAAGTTTCATAGTTGGTATGAATTTTCTTATCAAAAATCATCTACCCGACAAATTCATGGGCCATGAAATCTATTGTGTTTGAGTTGGCAGCAAAAATTATTGTTGCATTTTTTTTGGCGACTAATTCATTAAATAAATAGCACACAATGTGGCTTGTAAAAACATTATTTATTTATATTTTTAATGTTTACATAGATTTATTTATGTAACAACTTGAATAATTAACTGACATATTTAGAGTTAATGCTTTGTTATTGTGGATTGCCCTTTTTCGGAAAGCCAACTTTATTTGTATAAATGAACATAACAAAAAGTTTTTATTTAAATTAAAGGTCGTCATTGCGACAAAAAAAAAATGAATAAAAGTCATTTATCCATAAAACCATTTTAGGGTTTGGATGTGTGTGTATTTATTTTCATAATAATTAAATTAAAAGGTTCACAAAATTTAAAAGAGCATATTTTGCAATAATTATTTAAAGCATTTTTTGAAATAGACATTTTTAGAGGGGAATTTAAATTGAAAGAACAGGTAAATATTTAATCCATAATTGAAATTACTTTAACTCTAATCATAGAAAATAACATGTAAAAAAGCTGTAAGTTCGGCCGAGTCGAACTTTGAATACCCTCCACCATTTGGAACGAATTTGGCTATTCTCGAAAAAAATAAAATCCGTTAAAAAAAATCTTAAAAATAACGAATGTAGCTGTTATGTTAGGGTCTATACGACGACATGGACATGTATAGGTAACTTTTGTCATAAGCCATTACAATATTCAAACGAAACTTAAAATAATCTGTGAATATCGAATATCGGGAGGCGTAAGATTTTCTATCTTAGGCTGTAGTATCCATTACGAACTTCAAATACCGAATTTGAAACAATTCCGGTAAATAATGTCGCTAAAATCATCAAAATACCGAATACCGTTATATGGGGGCTATACGAAAACGTGGACCTGCACAGACAATCTCCTGTCATAGGCTGCAGCATCCATTACGAATCTCAAATACCAAATTTGAAACCATTCCTGTGAATAATGTCGCTAAAATCATCAAAATACCGAATATTGGGAGGTACCGTTATATGGGGACTATACCAAAACGTGGACCTACTTCAAAACCAAAAGTCCTGCAGATATAATATAAATTAAAAAAAAAAAAATATTTGGATAAAAATTTATCAATCTACTTCAATTCGTTCGGAAGCTAGGGTGATTTCCCCAGACGGACGGACATCGCTAAATCGATATAGAATTTTATGCTGATCAAGAGTATATATACTTTGTGGGGTCTAAAATGTATATTTCGAGGTGTTACAAACGGAATGACAAACTTGTTATATATATGTTGAAGGGCATGAAAAGGTTTTGTCAAAAAAATAAAAACATTTTGAAAAAAAAATTATCGAAGAAAATATTTAATATAACATCCTATTAAACTTTCACAATATATTCATCATCAGGTAGAACCTTTCAAGTTATTTTGAACTTCCTAAAAGACATGATAACCCAGCGAGTGGTATAATTAAATAAGATTCCGTTCTCCAGGAATGTTCATTTCATCACTCATTTATCTCGACTCCGGCGTCTTCTTCGATTATTCATTCGCCATTCCGAAGCGCATGGTATTTGCTCATTTAGCCGTGTATGCACAAACCGATTATTCTAATTAATAACATTAGCATTACCCGTACACATTTGCATTCAATTGCCCCCTACTACACAATGTGTGCAACCATACGAATACATCCATCGATGCTGCTGTTTATCTATGGCTGCAGCATCGTCTTCATTATTCGCATAGAATAGAATTGATATGTAAATATGGAATAGGAAGGTTCAATATCTCTATCTCGCTTAGGAATGGCCAAGCTCAGGCCATGTTCGGTATCTGTTCTAATGATAATGTGAATGGTAATGTGTAATGGTATACCACACTTGTATGGCTGCAAATTCGTTTGTGCGTGTGTGTGTGTGTGTGCGTATGGAATCGGTAATTAATACAAATAATAAATTTATCAATTCTATGCATTTTTGTTGAATTTGCCATTGAGAAAATTAATAAATTTATTCATCAATTGAATGAATGAATCAAATATATATGTATGTGTTGATATGTCTGTGTACGTGTGGAAATACTTAGACTAATGCAATTAGAGTTAAATAATCAATAATTAAATTTAGAATTGAATGGCCTAATTTTCATGATAATGACCCAATGGAAATTTATTGAATGTAAAGGTTTGAAATTTATTTGAAGTCTAGTGTTATCATTGAGAGAGAGTAAGAATTTTAAGCTCTACATAATAAAAAAAGACAATATTTTTATACCCTCCACCGTACATAATATGGAGGGTATATAAAGTTCGTCATTCCGTTTGTAACTCATCGAAATAACTATTTTAGACCCAACAAAGTATGTTTATTCTGGTCTGGCTGGTCAAGTTAGAAGATAGGCTATATCGGACAACGATATTGTATAGCCCCAAATAACAGTACCCCCCTCCCCATTATTTTGTATTTCGATGATTTTAGCCACATTTTCAATGGAATTGACTGAAAATTCACACAAAGAGTTGCTTGTGGGTACTTTACTCCATGGAAGAGAATTGTCTATATATATCCACGATATCGTATAGCTCCCAAATATCTGTACCCCCCCGATATTCAGTATTTTGTTGATTTTAGCCACATTTTCAATGGAATTGTCTGAAAATTCACAAAAGGAGTTCCTTGTGAGTAAATTATATCTTGGAAGAGAATTGTTTTTCTAGGTCCACGATATCATATATCCCCTATATTACGGTTGCTCCCGATATTCAGTATTTTGATGATGAAAATCCTACTACTTTGTTTTAATAGGTCCACGATATCGCATACCCCCAATAACGATACCCCCGATATTCGGTATTTTGATGATTTTAGCCAAATTTGTTAATGAAATTATCTTAAAATCCACACAAAGGGTTCCTTCTGAGTATTTTACCCCCTAGAAGAGAATTATCTAAGTATTTCCATGTTTTTAAATAGCGCCCATATAAAGGTACCCCCAGATATTCGGTATTTTCATGATTATAAACCGGAATTGTTTCAAATGTCGGAAGAGTTACCACAGCCTACACATAAATTATTTATGCGATAACGTTTTCATTTGAGCAGTATTTTCCAACCGACTTTTTTTTGAACATTTTTTTCAAGTTTCTTCAAAAGTTTTAGAAAGTATAAAAAATCGTCTCGGCGGAACTTAGCTGCCTTTTTAGTATGGCGGGTATATTAAATTCGTCATCACGTTTTTTGGACCCAACAAATATATATATTATATATATTCTTGATCAGCGTAACATTCTAAGACGATTTAGCGCTGTCCTTCCGTCCGTCCGTCTGCTGTAATTACACTAGAGTCAAAGCGAATTAAGACAGGAATCTAAAATTTTGCACAGATCAGTCTTTTGTGTGCAGGCAGGTCAAGTTCGGTCCACGATATTTTGTATAACGGTACCCCCGAAATACGGTATGTTGATGATTTTAGGCACATTTTTAATGGAATTGTCTGAAATTTTACACAAGGAGTTCTTTGTGGGTATTTTACTCACAGGAAGAGAATTGTCTATATAGGTCCACGAAATCACACAAAGGTATTTTGATAATTTTGGCCTCATTTTTAAATGGAATTGGCTTAAAATCCATATTTCCTTCTGAGAACTTTAGCCCCTGAAAGAGAATTGTATACATAGGTCCATGATATCGTGTATCCCCCGTATAACCCCCCGATATTTGGTATTTTGATGATTTTAGTTGTATTTATACCCTACACCACAAGGTGGTCAGGGTATTATGTCTTTGTGCATTTGTTTGTAACAGGCAAAAGGAAACGAGATAGACCCATAGTTCCTTTTGATGATCTGCATAGAATCACATTCTGATTCGATTTATGCATGTCCGTCCGTCCATCTGTCCATGTATTTTTGTAAACAAAGTACAGTTCGCATTTATTGCCCTATCCAGATGAAATTTTACACAAATCATTTGTTTGGCCCAAGGACGAACCCTATTGAAATTGGAGATAATCGGTCAAAATTTAGATATAGCTCCCATATATCTTTATCCGATTTGTCTTTTATTGTGCACCAAACGTGTAATATCACTCCGAATAGTATGGAATTTTGCACGTACGATCAGATTAGACCTGAAAATAAGTGTGCCAAATTTGATCGAAATCGGTTCAGATATAGATATAGCTCCCATATATATTGTTCATCCGATTTGTTATTTTTGCCCTCCGCAGCCGTAATATGCACCCTGTCACCACAATATTTGGGGGAATATATCAAATACACCTCAGAAATACATTTGCTAAATTTTATCGAGATCGGTTCAGATTTGGATATAGCTCCCATATATAACTTCGTCCGATTTACCTTTGATTGTGCACCAAACGTCTAATATTTGCAAAATTGGATGAAATTTGGCACTCTGACATCGGTTCAGATATAGCTATAGCTCCCATATATACTGTTCATCCAAGCCAAAGCCAAAAGAATGTTGTTGCGGCCCTTATGGCCTTAAACAATGAATGAAACCCCTTGGTGCTACTGTTATAAACGAATTTGTTGGATTTCATTTTTCCTTCTTCGCATTTTGTTTTTTTTCCTCTTTTCTTTTTTTTTGTGGTGGCATTCTCTGACACTGGCAACCATATGAAATGCATCTAAAACGCAATGCCATCAACGTCATTATGGAAAAAAAAGCTTCTTTGCTATAAGATGCATGAGTGGATGATTGTTCTCAAGATGAATGGAGCAAACGCACACACCCATTCTCACGCATATGAATATTTTATAGAATGAAAGATAAGATGTAATGTTTATTTTATTCAATTTTTTTTATTTTATTTAATTTTATGTTTTATTACATTTTTCTGCATTTGCCTTAATTTGTACACATTAAAATGTCGTTACATTTTGGAATGACATACATAAAACTTACAACTATGGAGCGGTTGGTTGGATGGATTGCTGTCTCCGTGGATTTGTGTGTCTGAGTGTGTTTTCTTCGGGTAAATATGTAACGGAATTATGGATGTTTTTTCTTCTTCTGCTGCCTTCTTTTTCAAACACCAAAACAACAAACGGATGTGCGAATGCGTGTGTCTCGTCTGGCAATAAGGACTAACAAACAAAACTCTCCCAAACAACATCTCATCTCAGTGTACTTATCATTATGTAAATTGTATTACAGAGAGAACTTCTCAACATTGCTTTGATGTTGAATCATCAACGGCTTCGGCGGCCCTAGCAAATGAAGATACAGATGTAAATAACTAAGGAGAGGACAAAAGTCGAACAGGCAGAATATTTGATACTCTATACCATTCTATATATTTGAAACGTTGGTTTTGAGGTTTGTGTTAAATAAATCATAATGATTATAATCGATTTTAAATCTGTATTACGACTTTAGTTGGGCTAACATTTGAAATCGGATGGTAGATATATTTTAATTTGAACCAATTTCCAAAAAAAAAATTGGAATGTTTTTTTCTTCTCTGGGATATATGTGATTGTTTATATATAATAACACTGCCATTGAGTGCATTAACAACTTTCTAAAAATTGGAATATGGATAAAAAATATATCTGAGAACTATAGCTATATCTAATGAGAAATTGGTTCTGAAACAGAACGGATTTATGCCAAATTTAGAGGAAGTGTTTATACCATGTTGGGGGTAATAAAAATTTCGCAATACCTCGAAATATTGGTACTTCATACATCGATTTCCTATTTCACCATTTATTAATTTATTTAGAGATTGAAATGGACCAACAACTGAAAATGTTTCTGATTTTGCAGCCGTTATAAAGTTTACAAAAAGGACAAAAAATCTAACATGAAGTTAGAGTTTCGGACAGCGGATAGAATGGACCTCTACTTTGATGTGAAAAAAATACCAACATTTGCATTCTACCGAAATGCTGAAAATAACTTACAGGTCAAATAATATGTTTGATTGGACAAAAAATATGTAACACCTCGAAATATTGGTTTCCCACATAGGAAACTATATATGGATCTTCCTATCTCGCCGAGCTGAGTCGATCTAGCTATGTATGTCCGTCCGTCCGTCTGTCCGTCTGTCCATGTTAATTTGTAATCACTCTACAGGTAGCAATTATGGCCTGATCTTCACGAAATTTAGAATTGAGGTGGGGTTAAGGTCAGAATAGAACCCTATTTCTTTTGGAGATGATCGCATAATATTTAGGGGTCGAAATGGACCAAAAACTGAAAAAAACCTGATTTTGTAGTTGCTCTACAGGTCGCAATTATAGACCAATCGACGCGGAAATTAGCATGGGGCTAAGGCTAGGGCTGGGCAGAAGCCTTCCAATTTTGATGGTCATCGGGTAATATTTAGTGGGTGAAAAATACTATAACATTTGTGTTAAATAAAAGTCAAATTTCCATTAAACCGCGAATATTTTTAGTTTAGTTCAATTCCGACAGTTACGTAGATACCGATAGTAAATATATCGGTTGTATATAGCGAAATATATGCAATGTTTATATACAAAGGAAAGGAATGTTAGATGGAATACTTATATCTCAAGAATGGCTGGACCGATTTTGACAAATTTTGTCAATTCAGAACGCCCTCTTGATATAAAAGTATAAAATCTAAATCGCATAAAAATAAGTTAAAAATGATGTTCATATAGATTTTGTAGTATTTTGTGACATTTTTTATTATTTTCATATTTTTTATCGCATGCGATTTTTTCAATTTGACTTATAATATTAAGGTATACATTTTGTAAAATTTTTCCACCTTACAACACAGGTTTGGGATATTATATAGAGATTGCAATTATCGTCCGATCCTCACGAAAAGGGTAGGGTTAGGCTCAGAAGGGCTAGGTCTATTGTTTTCAAAGATGTCCGCAATATATATTAGGGGTTAAAATGGACCAACAACTAAAATGTTCCTGATTTTGCAGTCATTTTGCTAATGGACATGAAATCTCGCATGAAGTTAGAGTTTAGGACAGCGGGTAGAATGAACCACTACAACATTACTTACAGGCGATAGCCAAAATACACAAATTGCGAACTTCTGCCTCTTTTTGCTGATTTCGTTGACGAATATAGCCAAATGTCGTAGTCAAGAGAGTCTAAATTTGGAGATACAAAGGGGCCTCTTGCTTTTGGAGATGATCGCAAAATACGACGGAGTGCGTAAATATAGGGCAAATGTCCCTTGTTAAAATGCTAAGGGTAATATCTGGGCAGTGCTTCGTGTCTTAATTTCAAAAGCAAAATCTTCCAAAATGGATTTGGATATAAGGGGGTTCCAACACATTGTAGTGTTTGCTTTGCTTACTTGTTTTTATTGTACATATGAAGTATACAAATTTCTTTTGTTCGGAGACCCATAATGAAATTTGATCTGAAATCATTCTTACTTTGACACTTTTCCTAAAAATTGAAGGATAAATGTAGATTTTGACTCGGATTGGATACGTGTTAAATTAACAGTAAAATAAGTTGAAACGTCAGATGTATACATTCAGCCAGTGTCCGATTACTTAAATATATTTTGACTTCTGTTTTGATTATTCAAATTATTAATCCTCTATGGAAAGGTTCAAAAGGAATGGGTCAATATTGTCTATGTCGTATCAGACCTAAATAAATATGATATAAATATTGGGACGTGCCAGGTATGGACTATATTGTGGATGAGGTACCAGAAGGGATTTACAGATATATATCATCTCCAGATCTTGTGTAAGATGACGCAAGTCTAAATGCAATTGCATGGTAATTTCGCATAAGCTTCATGGATATTCAAAATGTTGACCCTTTGTGAGGGAGGTACCAGAAGGAGTGGACCGATATATCCCATCTTCACAGCAGATCTTGTGTTAGTAGCAATAATGGAATGTGTGAAATATGAGGAGAACCGGATGCTTATTTCCGATTTTATGATCGTTTCGGTTATTCAAAACTTTGACCTTTTGTGGGGGAGGTACCAAAAGATATTTATAATAGATCTTGTGTTGATGGAAATAATAAAATTTGGAGTTTTATGAGCTTCATGAGGAAGGTAATACAAGTAATGGATCGGTATATTCCATCTTCACACGAGGTCTTGGGTTCATAAAAACATTTTGATGTGTCTAATTAGACGATCGGACTCTTATATTTTATAAGAGTTATTATTAATATTACATACATCTTATGAGAGTTATAATTATTTAAAATGTTTACCCTGTGGAGGAGATACTGATGGATTGGAGCGATATTGTCCAAATCGGATTATCCTCACTCTTTCTCTTCTCTTTCCTTACTCTTTTTTTATACCAGAAGAAGTGGACCTATATTGCCGATGCCTGTACTCATTCTAACTGTGATAATAATATTACGATATACCATGTGTGCACAAAATCGTATACTGTCTTCGAGAGTTATCGTGCGCACCAGCCAGACAGACAGACATCGCTAGATTTCTTTTCTTTGATGGCTTATAGTAAAATTTTATGATGTATTTGACACCATTCTTCTAAATGTATGCTTTTTTGGAGAGCTTACAAAGTACGGCTTTAACCCTAAAATGTGTCTTACATGTATATGTATTTCTGGTTTTTAGTTTCTAGTTTTGATTTAGACTATTGTTGGCTTCTGGGACATATTTTTAGAATTCAATGACAAATACTTTTAAATAAAGTGTTTTTGACTCGCTCTTGATTTTAATTTTCGACCACTTTATACCCAAAATTCACGAATTTCGAGGAATTGTACCAGAAGAATTGATCCGATCTCTACCATCTTTATAACAGATATTGTGTTGATGGAAATATTGAGATGTACCAAGTCCGAATGGAATAGGATGTTAATTTCGCGTATTATGAGCTTCATGGATATTCAAAATTTTGACTCTTTATGGTGGAGGTACCAGAAGGAGTGGACTGATATATTCCATCTTCATTGAATGTTATGGTCAGAATGCGTGATTTTTAACAAATTTAAAAATATGGTCAGTTTAAATGACCCACTGATGTGGCTATTTTGACTAAATTACGCACCAAATTTACATTGTGGAATATTAAGACACTGACAGGCTTAAGTTAATTGTGAACTGAAGGAAATATCGCTAGTCTATCATTGGTGTTCGTAGCAATCGAGCCTCAATTACTCAGCTACGTGGGATAGTCAAGGTATGAAGTCTTTCAATACATAGCTGGAGCAGGATTTGAAGCCAAACCACCTACCGTATCGCAGATTTTTTTTGTTAATGGGCCCTTGGAAAGTTAGTAATTTTTTCCAATAAAAAATTGTGTTCGGGGACGAAGCTCAATTTTAGCTCAATGTGTACGTCAATAAGTTGAACAAGTAAAAAAGATGTAAGTTCTTTAACTTTTAATACCCTCCACCATTTGGTACAAATTTGGCAATTTCCAAAAAATAAAACCCGTTAAAAATTCTGTTAAAATCTTAAAAATACCGAATGTTTATACGACAACGTGGGCCTGCATAGGCAACTTTTGTCATAAATTATTACAATATTTAAATGCGAAACTTGAAGTAAAATCTGTTTAAAATCATCAAAATGCCGAATATGGGGGGTACCGTTATATGGGGGCTATACGAAGACGTGGACCTGCACAGACAATTTTCTGGCATGGGCTGAAGTATCCATTACGAACTTCAAATGCCAAATTTGAAATAATTCCGGTGAATAATGTCGCTAAAATCATCAAAATACCGAATATCGGGAGGTACCGTTATATGGGGGCTATATGATAACTTGGACCATTTACGAACTTAACCTGCCTACTGGGAAAATATACATGTGTGCAAAATTTTAGCCTTCTATCTCAATTTGTTCGAAAGATAGCGTGATTACAACAGACAGACAGACGGACAGACAGACAGACAGACGGACATGGCTAAATCGTCTTAGAATTTTACGCTGATCAAGAATATATATACTTTTTTGGGTCTGACATGAGTATTTCGAGGAGTTACAAACGGAATGACAAAATTAATAATAACTATGGAGGGTATAAAAACTACCAATTCATACAGAAAAAGTAGTAGTTTGTTGCGGTTTATAGGCTTGGCATCATTAGATCGTTCTTCTTTAAACAATTTATGAATCGTATGGTAATTGGCGAGAAGTTACCATAAGATGATATCGATTTTTATTTTTTCCCCAAAAATCTAATTTGTGGGATCAACAAGATAGTGCCACATGCCACACAGCTCGCGTAGCAATTCGCTTATGGAAAGGTGAATTCGTTCAACATTTTATGTCACGTTCGGTACCGGTCAGTTGACCGCCTAGATCCATCGATTTAAAGCCTTTAGACTTTTTGGGGGCTGTATTGATGCCCATTTCGATTGTGGAGAGCTAAGTTGACGCATTGCAAGAAAGCATTTCTTTGTGATATACCGGCCGAAATTTGGGAAGGAGTATGTCAAAAGAAGATTAAGCGATGTACCGTTTGCATGAAATAATCTTCATACATTAACTTATATGGATTTAATTTCATTTTAAATAAAGATTTTATACATTTTATTTTATTTATTTATTTTTATTTATTTTTTTTCTTATTCTGAAAATCAACTATTATGAGGGCTGTATTATAACGTGGACCTATATGGATTACTGTTTGCCAATTGCGATTTGTGCTCCCATATATTTCCCATTTTCTCACAAATCCTACTGACCTAAAATTGTTTTATTTATACAGATGGACATATTCTACGGATATACGAATATACAAAGACATATATATTTTGGTTCTTAAGTAAATTTTTCAAGAAGTTACAAATGGAATGGCAAACTTAATATAACCTCCATACTATGGTAGAGAGTATAAAAAGTGAGTAAGTGATGAGAACAAATAGAAGTGTGTACTTTCTTGTGCGTTCGTTTGTATTTGGTGTCTGCTTTTGCTTTGGCTCTATAACTCCCATTCAACATCCTTTAGCTTGTAATTCTTTTTGGAGTCGGTATTATTTGTTGTTGTTGATTTTCTTTTTTGCCTTCATCTCTTCTTTAGTACATACTTCAAATATGCAGTTATTAATCACAAAGGAACCACGCGTACAGAAAAAGAAAATGTATAAAAAGAACACAAAAATAACAGCAGCAACAACAACAGCATAATGTGGTACTACACATAGCAATGTATTATTGCTGCTCTCCTTACTCCCCTCGAAGGGGTTCGTTCTTTTCGAACAGGAAATACTTGAATGGCAAATAATAAAACGACAGCCAACCATGTACAGAGGATATTAACGAAAACACACGCACGCTCTCTCACACGCACATACAGATAGCTAGATATTCATCAAGGAATGTGTCCGCCAGTACATGCATACATACACGATGATTATTATTGTATTTTGTTTCCTCTCATCCCATGGCAATTACGATGCAATGCTAGAGGAACAGTGGTATTTAAAGGCATTTGGGCTTGACTTTGGCCTTCAACAAGGAGGAATAGAAGAATCCTTATTTTCCATAGAAAGGAAACCGAAGAAAATCCTTATTCAAGCAAGCTGAATAGAAGTTTTCCGAAGGAAAACCTCATTCGAGCAGGCTGAATAGAAGTTTTTAGACTGAAAACCTTATTCAGCCAAGCTGAATAAAATTTTTCCTGTGGAAAACCTTATTCATCCAAACTGAATAGAAATTTTCCTATGGAAAACCGTATTCAGCCAGGATGAATAAAAGTTTTCCTATGGAAAACCTTATTCAGCCAGGATGAATAAAAGTTTTCCTATGGAAAACCTTATTCAGCCTTGATAAATAAAAGTTTTCCTATGGAAAACCTTTTTTCAGCCAGGATGAATAGAAGTTTTCCTATGGAAAACTTTATTCAGCCGGGATGAATAGATGTTTTCCTATGGAAAACCTTATTCAGCCAGGGTGAATAAAAGTTTTCCTATGGAAAACCTTATTCAGCCAGGATGAATAAAAGTTTTCCTATGGAAAACCTTATTCAGCCAGGATAAATAAAAGTTTTCCTATGGAAAACCTTTTCTCAGCCAGGATGAATAGAAGTTTTCCTATGGAAAACTTTATTCAGCCGGGATGAATAGATGTTTTCCTATGGAAAACCTTATTCAGCCAGGATGAATAGAAGTTTTCCTATAGAAAACCTTATTCAGCCAAGCTGTATAGAAATTTTCCTATGAAAAACCTTATTCAGCCGAGGTGTGCAGAAATTTTCCTATTGAAAACCTTATTCAGCTAGGCTGACATTTTCCTATGGAAAGCTTATACAGATAGGCTGAATAGAGGTTATGTATTATATTGCCAGGATGAATCAATGCCATTTTGGTTAATTTTTCTACTGAAAACCTTATTCATCCAGGCTTAATAGAAACTTTCCTATATATTTTCCTTATTCAGCCAAGCTGTATAGAGATTTTCCTATTGAAAACATTGTTTAGCCAGACTGAATAAAAGTTTTCCGATTGAAAACCTTATTCAGCCAGGCTGAATAGAAGTTTTTCGATGGAAACCTTTATTCACCTAAGCTGAATATACATTTTTCCTATGAAAAACCTTTTTCAGCCAGGATGAATAGAAGATTTTCTATGGAAAAGCTTTTACAGATATGCTGAATAGAGATTATATATTCTATTGCCTCGATGAATCGATGCCACTTCAATCACTGTGCCATCTTATTTCACCCATGGCGTTTCGGTTTATTTGCCGCTCTGTTGTTCTTTGAATAATGCTAAAGAATTTAAGTATTTTCATTTCCTTCTTTTTGTCAGTGTCTACCCTCACCCCAGCGTCTCTTCCTTCGTTGTGCTCAACCGAAAGCATGCAAGAGTGCCTGACATGAATACGTCTCGCTGTTGTACAAGAAGCGTTAATAACACAGCGCTTATCTGTTGCCAAAGAATTTACAAGCAATAACAATGACATCTTTGCCAGAAACATGGATTACTGGCAAAAGGGAGCTACTGCTGCTACTACTGGCTAAAGACGAAGCAGGAGAAGCAACTTCAGCTTCAACTCCCGAGAAGAGAAAACCACAGCAGCTGCCTGGAATCCTAAAGCCAAATGGAACAACAAGCAAGCAAACAAACAAAAGTGGTAATGAATGGGCTGCACCATCAGTAGTCGGTCGTTGTCGACCAACAAACATGTTCTCTATCTCTCCCATCGGCTTTTGTTCGTCATGCAGCCATGCACAACGTTGCATGTACGACAACGACTCCTTGCAACTTAATTTAACGAAAAACTGAGCTTTATCATCCGGATGCATTAGGAACGCATCAAATGAAAGATAATGCCATTGTTGTCATTCAAGCTGATGTTGGTGGTGGTGGATGGTGGCAGTGCCAGCACTGGCAGCGAGAAGGAACAGAAAGAAATGTCGATGCCGGAAAGCTTATCTTAATACGACGAATATTCTTGTTTGCAGTTATATAAATCCTTATTGCTGGAACAAAGACTACGACAGCAACGACGACGAAGATGCAGAAGAACAAGTCAAAATAACAGGAAGAGTATTTCACAAAGGAAGTCAGGCGATTACAATTAACACAATTTGTCTTCAATTAGGCATTTACAAGCAACAACACACCACAATCCGCATGACACCATTAAGGGGCCAACCCAAAGCCGCTCTTCTTCTTCTTCTTTTCTTAGTCGGAGTGTAGGTGTAAGTAAGTGCGCTTTAATCAAGAAACTATCTACATTATTTTCCAGCAACATCTCCGCTACAGCCATCAGCAGTATTTTTGCCTTCACAATTTCCGGCCCCAACACCCGCTGCCGCCGACGCGGCTGCCTTCTCCGTTTCCTTTACCGTAAATGTTACAAAATATCGTTTATTTGAATCCAATTTATCGGATGGCAGTGATATTAGCTGTTTACTCTTTCCATGTGACAATTCTAATGACACTTTACCGCCACACCCGGTGCCGGTAGTGAGAATTTTCGGCAAATAAAAACTTCCCACGCCAGTCTTTTTATATGGGCCAAATCCAAATTTCGGCATGGTGTGATGATTCATCATGGGAACTGTAATGAGAAAAAAGAAATAGAAAGAAGAAGAAAAAGAAGACGAAAATTAATACATTTATTTCAAAACGAAGACATTGCCATTCAGCAAAATTGAATATCAATGATTATTGTTAAAAACCAATCTAATTTGATTATTTCTCTGTGGGCAATAATTAATTGGCGGTAATGGAGTGGAAGTGGGTGTCAGTGACAGAAATGGAAAATATTACATTAACTTAAAATAGAAAATTTTCATTTATCAAAAAATAGTATAATTTTCCTAATCACAAATTTATTAGATTTCAAAGACCTGAGACATGATTTATGAGTAAAGAGATATATCAGAGATTCCTTACAGACGAGCTGAAGGAGCTTTCATAAAGGATGTGGGGTCCAAAGTGTCTTCAAAGATAAGCCGGTGGCAAGGGAGTCTTCAAAGACGAGCAAGAGGCTTTAAAGACTACCATGGAACTGGAGGCCTTCGAGACTTTATTACTAATCTGATGGTGAGGTAGTCTTCAAGGACGAACTGGAATTCAGTCAGTCTGTAAAGACGAGCTGATGGTCAGGGAGTCCGTATAGACGAGCTGATGGTCAGGGATTCTGTATAGACGAGCTGATGGTCAGGGAGTCTGTATAGACGAGCTGATGGTCAGGGAGTCTGTATAGACGAGCTGATGGTCAGGGAGTCTGTATAGACAAGCTCTTGGTCAGGGAGTCTATATAGACAAGCTGTTGGTCAGGGAGTCTATATAGACGAGCTGATGGTCAGGGTCTGTATAGACGAGCTGATGGTCAGAGTCTGTGTAGACGAGCTGATTGTCAGGGAGTCTGTGTAGACGAGCTGATGGTCAGGGAGTCTGTGTAGACGAGGTGATGGTCAGGGAGTCTGTGTAGACGAGCTGATGGTCGGGAGTCTGTGTAGACGAGCTGATGGTCAGGGAGTCTGTGTAGATGAGCTGAAGGTCGGGGAGTCTGTATAGACGAGCTGATGTTCAGGGAGTATGTATAGACGAGCTGATGGTCAGGGAGTCTATGTAGACGAGCTGATGGTCAGGGAGTCTGTGTAGACGAACTGAAGGTCAGGGATTCTGTGTAGACGAGCTGATTGTCAGGGAGTCTGTGTAAATGAGCTGAAGGTCGGGGAGTCTGTATAGACGAGCTGATGGGCAGAGAGTCAATATAGACGAGCTGATGGTCAGAGAGTCAATATAGACGAGCTGATGGCCAGGGAGTCTGTATTGGTGAGCTGATGATAAGGGAGTCTGTATTGGTGAGCTGATGATAAGGTAGTCTGTATAGGCGAGCTGATGAACAGGGCAAGTCAGTATGGACGAGCTGATGATCAGGGCTAGTCAGTATGGATGAGCTGATGATCAGGGCGAGTCAGTACAGACGAGCTGATAATCAGGCCGAGTCAGTATGAACGAGCTGATGAACAGGGCGAGTCAGTACAGACGAGCTGATGATCAGGGAGACAGTATAGGCAACCTGATGTCAGTGAGGCTGCTGGTGTAGGAATCTGTGTATGTGAGCCGTGTATAGGCGAGCTGAGCTAATAGTCGGGCATTCTGTTGTCTTGGGTTCCAGAGATTCGCTACAGATTAGCTGTACCACAGAGATTCGATACAGACGACTTAGGTCCCCATGGATTATTTATAGACGAACTGGGAGTCAAATAGCCTACAGATACGAGTTGTGTCCAGAGAGCATCTACAGACGAGAAATCGATTCAGGTCATTTGAGAAATCGATGCAAATTATTTGGGACACAGACGTTCGCATCAAGAAGTTTGTGAAACAAAACCTAAATGCAATGAAGTTTTTAATCAGGAGGTCTTATGACTTGTACACTAGGAAGTCTGTATATGAAGCCAAGTATTTTTAGATTGGTCTCTAAGGCTTATTTAAATGAGAGTCGTTAAGGGATTTTATAAAGCCTTAAATCGTCCTTTGAGTCTTAAATTATTGTTAAATGCAGTTTATATGATCTGGAGTTGAGGGGAGTTTAATGGAAAATTGGCAACGGAAGTCATAAATTGGCCGGGGAGTCAAAAAATATACTTTCACGTTATATATGAACGCTGAAGAGGAGGATGTGAAGTTGGATTTTCATATTCGTTGTGGATATAAGGCAAATCCTTATCTGGACTTTCCAATTTACCACTTTTTCAGGCATATTAGGGAATAGTTTCTACAATCTATTTTTAAGTTCCTATCTTCCCCAAATTTAGAACAGAACTTCATATGGGGTAATCCCTTTATTAATCATATATTTTATGCCACACCGATATCAATATAATTTACAAACTATATACAAAACCATAAAAAGGCAAATTAAATACATATCCTTTTTTAATTAGAATATTTTATGCAATGGAATAACTAGTTTCATATTTTTAATTTAAAATTTGTTTACATTTCACTTGGAATATTAAAAACCGCCGCACATAGCTGCAGGCTATGTATGCATTACAGTTAATTAGCAACAATATTGGCCTGTCATTATTCCACAGCCCATCAGTGTGGTGAGATGAGAAAGAGTTTGCGTGTGAGTGTTGTTTGGAGAGAAAGAGCGCACGTGGTTGCCTATGTGTATTTGCGTAGTTGTGTCGGTGTGTTTGTGTGTGGTAGCATATGTGGCATGGTATATTTATAAGATATGTTAAATTAATTAATTTCAATTGGTTTAATATGAAATTCAGTTGTAGAACCAGACAAATAAATAAATCATGTCATTAACAAAGTTCTTCGATGCGTATCAGTTATAATTTGCTATTCATACCACTCATACGCCACATGGGCACCTAGAAATGCGTTATAAACTAATGATATTGATTTGTTGGCAATAAGATAAAGAATAATTAAATGATAAAAGAAGAATTAACACATATGAGGGCATTTCAGATCTGAGCATGTTAGCTGCGATACCTACGCCCCTAGGACTGTAGATTCATTTATTGGTAATAGCTCGGCACGAAATTGGCCTTGGGGGCGAATAATTTGGTTTAAGAAAATTTTTTTTTTTGTTGCCAGGTCTTTTTGTAAATTGAGTCTGTCTGAGTACCATAGCTCTCCGCAAAAAAAAAAAAACACAACATCGAAATAAAACGGTTTCACGGTAGAACCACACTTCTGGCTATTGCTGTGCTTATGAATATTTCGAGCAGATGAAGTGACCATACATTTTTTTAATTCACCTGGAACACATATGTTGATCTTGTATACATTTGGGCTATTTATTCTTTGAAGAGGTTTACAGTGGATCATTTATAGATTAAAAGGGATAACGAACTGGATCTTTGAATGTGTATCAGGGTTTTATACTTGGATCATTTTAGCTGTATCATACGCAGATGTTTAGGGACTATCAGAGCTTTTTAATTCGATATTTGAAGGACTATCAGCGATACATACGAGAATCTTTAAGGAACTAGTAGGGATGTATACGTGGATGTTTGAAAGACTCTCAAGGCTTTTTATTGTATTTAATTGGATGTATCGTAGTTGGATATTTTAAGATTGCAATGGCTCTTAAAACGACTATTAGGGCTTTACTCGTAGATCATAAAGAGCTAATAGCATTATGAGTGGATCTTTTTTGAACTACCAGGGATAGATTGGTGAATCTTTTAAGTGATATCAGGCCATCCTTCAAGAATGTTTTTCTAAAGTCAAAAATCTTTATTGGAATTAAATTGTATTCCTTTAAAGGAAGATTATAAAAAACATATAGTCTTTTAGATCTGAAAGACTTTATTCATATCTTCTGCCCCTTAGACTACCTTCTCGGAGTGCTTGAAGGGAGCAGTTTTTTTTAGATTCGTGTTTATTCGTGTTGTTTTGATGATTCTTTTAAAATTATTCCATTCAGTAATTCGCGGTGAAGGATTTATGCCCGTTAATACGTCCATATTGACTCCTTCTATAGCTAATATTGAATAGTTCTCGTTCATTTCGGTCATAAGAACGCACTTGCCTTCAAGTCATCAACAAAGACTGCCTGGTTTTAGAACCAGGGGAGAAATATACGATTCGACTCCAAAGACTCCCAAGTCTGCAGCTTGTAAAAATAGACTCTGCATAAAAATAACAGTGGAGTTCAGAGATCGTTTTTAGAAACTTTAATATAAATAGCTGACGACCTGTTCTTCTAATCGGTCCTGGTTTCCATTCGGTTATCTCTCGTCTTAAGCAACTCTCTGGCTTGCTGCTCGTCTATAGCGATCCGGTGGCCTTTAGCACGTCTATGTAACTCCCACGTCTCTAACTCGTCTTTAGCGACTAACTGGCCCTTAGCTCGTCTGTACAGATTTACTGGCCTCCAACTTGTCTGTTGAGACTCATTGGGCGCCATCTTGTCTGTTGCGACTTTCTAACCTCCATCTCATCTGAGCGACACTCTGGCCTTCGCCTCGTCTGTGGTGATTCCCTGGGATCCAACACGTAAATAACAATTCCCTGGCCTCTAGCGGCTCTCTGACCTCCGGCTCGTATATGGAGGAGTCTCCATCTAGTTTTTGTAGAACCCCTGACCTTCAGCTAATCTATAAAGATTTCCTCGCCCCAGTTCGTCTCTAACTCATCTTTAGCTACTACTTCGCCTCCAGCTCGTTTGTTGAAACTCAACTGTCTCGATCTCGACTGCAGAGGTTACTGGCCTCCAACTTATCTGTTGAGACCCGTTGGGCGCCATCTTGTGACTTTCTAACCTCTTTGGCCTCCGGTCATCTGTAGCCTCCTCTATCTGTAGCGACTCTCATGGCTTCAGCTCATCTGTATCGACACTCTGGCTCCCAGGTGTCTAGTTCGTTTGTTAAATATCGGGGGCCTTGAGCTCTGTAGGATTTTACTGGCCTCCAACTTGTCTGTTGCAACTTTCTGGCCTCGAGTTAGTCTTAAGCGACTCTCCCACATATCACTCTTCTATGGAGAATCGATGGCCTCCAGAGTCTCCATAAACTAGAGACTCTCTGACATCCATCAAGTCTATAAAACCTATAGCGATTCCATGGTCTG